ACAAGAAATTTATATAACAAGTACATAAAATACAAGAAATCCGTGAAAAATGATAACTTAAATCCACTGAGACGCAATAACCACATCACACGTCACTGTAAAACTACCGGTTGAACTCAGTCTACGACTAAATATATGGAACAAGACAAAAAACACATTGTTACGTATTTAACGCATATTTATCATTAAACGTCGTCTCAAACCACGAGATTATCGGTGTTCATAATAATAGTCACCCTAACCACTCACACCACACAAATCCAGTAACACAGAATTCCATTACGCTGTTGACACGTAGATAGTGTCTCGTAATAAACTAGTTATCTATAAAGCGAATTTGAACGAGCTTGAGAAAAGGAGTAGGCTTTTCTTATCCATGTACCGGTGATGTCATCCAAGAGTTGACAACTACAAACCTTTAGAGATTTATATCCCACAGAGAATCGTAATTAAACCTTGGGAGATGAATTAGGACATTGATGTGAAAGTCTAGTTATAGTGGGAGTGTAACATGAGAAATTCTAAGATAAAATCGTTGGCGGACAAGCGTCAGGCAGTTCGTTGCAAGTAAACTATACCCATAAATTTGCTAGCTTCTCAGTTATGAAATATCCATCCCTAGTTTTAGGAGACCTACGTTTAGAGAAATAAGCGGAGTGGACATGTTCTCTCATTCCATGCAAAAACTGCATGTATGTAATAATTCTATTGTGGACCGACCGTGATTGGTTGCACCCAGGGTGGTTTTTGTCGGGCTGGACACACCAGCTTTAGGTGTTGCACTATAAACAGGTCATAGGGTAAACTGCGCAAAAGTAACATGCATTGCTTTAGCGTCTGACATTCACGGTAATGTCTGAGGGTTTTTGACGATAATTTCCAGCAGATTATAAGGCCAGTTTAGTGCTTGTGAATCTTTCACTTGGAAAATCCCACTTTTAATTTAGTATCAAAATGAACACCCCAGGTATTTTTATTATTCAGCACGTGTGTAGTTTGAAGTTATCAATGTGAATCTCAAACATGTTCATAATTTTACATTTTTTGTTACTGGAGAACATCATGTATTTAGTTTTTTGCACAATTAAGAGATAGATCTATTTAAGGGCAATCTTAGCGCCACTCACCTTTGACCATGTTCTAACTTTCTGAATTTACATTAATTTCGAGTTCAGCAGTTATAATTTCCGACACTTGACATAAAACAGATTCGTATCATCAGCAATAATCTGGAACTAAAAATTTGAAGCTAAGGAGGTCATTTACTAAATTAGAAAAGTAGGGGACCAAGAGCTTGGATCGCCTGTGGAACACCCGGCACGATATATTGCAAAAGATGCGAATATGAGTCATTAATTGCTTACATATTGTTTACGATTTGAGAGATAGCTGTGCAATAGTTCGCAGGGGTGGGCCTTCAGCACCATAGTGTTTCGAAGTTAGAAAGCAGGTATATTTATGCCTGGAACAGTATCCAAAAGCTTTGAGCAAATCAAGAAAGATTCCGCACACGAATATTTGGCCCTTCATCATTTGAAATTTAAGGAGAGTATCATACAATTCAGAAATTGCCCAGTGTAGTTGAATGATTTTTTTCTAAACCAAAATCTAAATACTAAATGGCCAGTATACCGCCAGCGGCAACCGTACGCGGGCTATAGTTACTAGAGCTAATCGGCAGATTATCGCATGTCAGCTGACTCAGTCTCTCCAGACTAGACACGATAGTGATACGTGATAAGTGGGTCACTGATTGATATTGATTCAATAGAACCATAATAACGTCCCTGCTATCCCACTGTCACCAAGTAACTAGATTGTAATGTTTTCTCACAATGCACAATATTTAGTAATCGCACATAAAAACTTGATCAAAAGACATGCGTAAATCCGTGCCATGCTCCTCGTATCCTTGAACCATGATCATGCCACCTGTATCATTCATCCTTGTAACAAATCCAATGTACGTTTGTGACTTCGAGCTTGGTATGCTACCTATCAGCACCATCACCAGTCAGTTACTAACTTATAATACCAATAATGCACCAGAAAAAAAAAAAAAAAAAAATGCGTTAGTGTTAATTAAATTAATTTAAAAAATGTCCATTTTTGTAGGTTTCTGTATGACACTATCGACAACAAGTCATGAGGACATGATTGTAAGTACTGTATTAACATGTAGGCACCGTATGCTAGTCTCCTACTAACACAATCCAATGCGTAACAACATTTACTAACATATATCACAGTTAAGAATAGGCAACCCGTTAATTAAAGGCAACGTTTGACATTTACTTCGAGTGATGTCTTACTACAGTGAAGCTGTTTAATCTCCTATTTGTATACTGTCGGTGAAGGGACATTTATGGGATGTTTCCCCTAGAGCGACCCCTCGTACACGCGCTTTCTACACAATAAATTCCTAACGGCGTTGTCGAATTGGTTAAACTCCAACTCGCTATTGTCCCGTTGTCATTGCACGGTGATGATTGCATCGCTGTAGGGTGTGAATGATCAGCGATGAATCGGGGAGTTGCAAGCACGCAGCTCACAATACGATAATATAATCTCTATATTTCTATATCTCTATATCTCTATACACACAGCGTCACATCGCGATACACACGAAATGCGTGTTAATCCTTAAAAATTAAAAAATATCGTAAACTATTTAATAAAGTATTTTTTGTTTTATTGTTATTTATATTATTTTCTTATTTTATTTAAAGTATTCGTATTGATGTAGAGATTTAAATTTGAGATACGCGTGCGGTCGCTCGCGACGCCATAGTGTAATTGTGGGCGAAGAGGCAACACTATATTTAACACAGTGTGTAACGAGGCGCTTGGCGTGTGTTTCCGCAGCACGATGCCAGCGCTATTGATACTACTATCGGCACGCGTCTTCGCGACCTGCTCGGTCCGACGCCGCCTCTGTGAAGGTGTTCGACGTCAAGAACGGACGCCAGACCTCGTCGGCCGACCTGCGAGGGTGACGTGTGCGCGGCGGGGGGATGCAGCTGATGGGGGGGGGCACAGTGTGTGGCGTTGTGGTATACCGCGGCACAAGCGTCAGAACCCTACACCTTTATTAAGTAGAACAGTAACTCACCATTAATTAGAATCCAATATCTTCTTTGATTACAACATTACGTCGTCATTAATAAGAATTACATCTTCATTAATTAGAACCGTACATTTTCAATAATTAGAACCTTACATCTTCATTTATTAAGACACTAAAATTTTATTTATTAGAGTAGTACGTCTTCATTGATTAGGACACTACATTTTAATTCATTAGAGCAGTACACTTTCATTCATTAGGAGACTACAGCTTCGTTTATTACAGCAGTACACCTCCATTAATTAAGAAACTACATCTTCCTTATTTAGGACTGTTCATCGTTATTAAATATAAGTTAACACTTCCCCCGCGCACATGCATGACAACAATCAGACCTGCCAACCTGTGATTCATGAAAATAGTAAGGCTTTTCTTTTATTGCAGCAGGCGGCCATTTTGTTTGTATGTTATGCGCGCAATGAATGATGGGACTAACTCTAGATCACGCGAGAACAACGTGAACGCGTGATCCAATATGGCTGCGCCCACAATCGCCAGATATTTCTCGGCTCACAATCTAAAACACATTAATTTTCACAAGTCGTAAAAAATCGTAAGTTTTTCAGTTTGATCGTACATTCGTAGAAACATCATGGAATTCGTAAGGAATACGAAAAAATCGTAAGGGTTGGCAGGTCTGTAACAATGCTCACCGTGGCATGCTGGCCTCGGCCATCCACAGCAGGTCCATGTTACACGCTAGCACCGGGATGTGCGGGTAGGGCAGCCGGTCCGGCACGATGGACGGCTGACCCTCGGTCATCAGGACGTCCACGATTAGTTGCAGGTTGGTCTCCCACCTCACCGGCTCGCCGAACAGTATCACAGCTGCAAGCGCAAAACGAAGTTTTGGTCGCTTAGCAACGGCAACAAGCAAGTGCAACGCGCGAAGTCTTGGTCGCCTAGCAATGGCAGCAAGCAAGGGCAACGCACGCCAAAGAATAATTAATGCAAATTCCATAGTCTATGTTTAAACTAGTCCGTGGCAATAGGCAGTATTACACTCACCTTCTATTTTGGGGAAATACTGGGCAAATGCACATGGCTGAAACAGAGAATGCAGTGGATTAGAGGCCAGCCCCCTTTATACACAAGTCCGATATCACAACTCCACCATCCCTTCTACACCGTCACACTTCCATCGAAATTCCACTTTATGTATAAAATCGCCACAAGATAGCAGCACGTGTATCAATGTAGTTGCGATACTGTTGTACACTTACACGTATTTTTTCGGCGTCATGCCCAGGGCTCTCATGTGCGCTCGTACCTACACACCACGAGCACCGCGAGCTGACTACTACTCGAGTACGTACAGAAGATACGTGTCGATGTGAATTGTCCCTGTCAGCTGATCACACACTATCCCACGTTCTATTCAGCTTGCCTCGAGGTGCAAGACTCTCCCATCCACACCTGCCACCCTCAATCATACAGTGGCCATACGTGATACTAGCTACTTTCTTTAGTGATCGATCTTTCGTGTCTAGTTTCCACACATCCACCCCCGTCGTCTTTCCACCTTACCATATACCTACCACAGCTCTACAGCATACTCCTCACTATACGCACCACAACTCCGTCACCCTGGGCGTAGGGATGACAGGGTGCGAAATTAACGAGAGTCCGGAGTCAAATACTCCTTGATTTACTGTCGAACTCCCTAATTTGACATATGCAGGAGTCCGTGCGACTCTCTGAAAATTCTGCCATACTAACTAGTTCGTTCCAGAGCACGGCCTTGCGGAATTACCGTATTTTTTCAGCAAATGTCCAAAGAAAATCTGGCAGACGTGCAACCGCATGAATCTTCAATATAAGCACATGCGTTATTGTTAATATCTTTCATTTTGAACTTCAGCCTGCAGACTCTCTAGTTTTGCTGCAGACTCCCTCTTTTTGAGGGTAGGGAGTCCGTTGTTCAAAAGTTCATTTCTACCCATGGAATGATAATACTTACTACTTTGATTCGTCGTTTGTGGTCTACCATGTCTAGCATCGGAAACATCGACCTCATCGTCTCTATCGTTGTCACCTTTGTGCAACCCAACCTGGGGAAATAACATCAGCTTGATAATCTTCCTCTATGCGTGCGCGTGTGCGTGTGCATGTGCGTGTGTGTGTGCACGTGCGTGCATGCTTTTTAGTTTACCCGTCCATATGTCCCTGTCAGTTGTTTGGGATTTCTCTAAGAAATCTGTAATGTTGTGATAAACCAGACTAGGATCGCATTACCGTAACCTTTTCATGCTATAGCATCATAGTACACAATTCTGCAATTGTTCCGTAATATTGCATCATGATAAATAAGGCACAAGGTAGGGAGCAGGCGACATCTGTCGGCTGATAGAAGAAAGTGCAGAAAGTGGCATTGAAAAACTTCTTCAGTCGCTCTGTCCTCTCGAATTTCCACATATTTTAACATAGATGGAGTCCTGTGTCCACGTCAATTCAAATGTGCCATGCCTTTCTATATTTTAGTAATGAGTTCACTATAATAATCTATTACGAGCATATAAAAGAAGGCCTATATGCTCTTTGATTCATGTATGTACACGAATGCCCAGTATATAACTGTTCAACACTATTGCATTTATCAATGTTTTCTCCATGAAAAAGACTGCATGGCTTCAGTACATGTATTTGTATTTGAATTACATGCAATAAAGATTTAATAATAATAATACAGTAGTAATAATAATATACTATTATGTCCAAATTATACATTTAAAGCAGTTAGCGCATATTCAGCAGTAGTTTGATGCGAAAAATTGCTATCCCAATATCTCTTCGGTAGAGAATCCAGTCTTCACGAATTACCCTATATAACATCGTTGACTCAGATCTGTTTGCCTATAACTAGTAGTCGTAGAGCAAAAAAATCTTGAGAAAATTTGAGATTTACAAAAGAACATTACTTGTAAGTAGTTTTTTTGTAAAAATGTCTACTCGTTTTACTCGAATAATTATGAGGTAGCATATTGACCTGTACTGTAGGCATGTGAAATCTGCGTGCACACACGCAAACTATTTGTCAAGCTATGTCATTTTAAAACCAAACACGAAATATATCGATAAAAGACCAAGAATGCGTAAAATGAAGAACACGCAAAAGCACAGATAAGCTCGGATTACTGCATATATTATTTTACAGATTCACGCAATTTACAAGGCACAAAAATCCTGGCACACGCCTCACGGATTCACTAATACACTATATCACCCGAACATATTAGAAACATAAATACCATATTTCCGTTACCGGTGAGGCACGCCAGAGCCTGCGTTCGCAAACAACACTATTCAACCCTCCTCGATGGCATAAAAAGCCTTAACGTCGAGCTAGCTTGCTCCTTTAAAGTGGCACAACAAAATCGCAGCGTATGCTCCCTCCCTTTCCCCCTCCATTTGACTAAGCCAAGGTAGCAAAATGCATTCGTGCGCGTGGCGCTGCTGCGGAGCTACGAGTGCCCGCAGGTGGCGCTGCTGTCCTGCTTCGTAGCCCTGCAGGTGGCGCTGCTGCAGAGCTACAAAACCCGTAGGTGGCACTGCTGTTAGGTTGCAGCACAGTTGAGCTACTGACCTATTAAACGAGGTTAGTAACAATGCCACCTTTCGCATATCGCGGGAATTTGACATGCGCACGCGCGCGCACACAAACGAATCAACCGTCTTTAGAACCAACTCATAAAACTGAGCAAACGCTTCTCTGACAAGAAATAACTCACTCTATGTACATTTCGGAAAGCGCCGCGCCGCCAGCGGCCGACCGAGAGACAAGGCGACGCCTCCTAAGCAGCTAGCAAAAATTATCTACTAAACAGATGGGCGTTACCGTAACGATGAAGGAACTGCGACGCCCTTCCTCCGCTGCGTGCGCGCAGACGCTAAGAAAATCTCGTCTGCGCGCCCCCGACAAGATTTCCACCGACCCCACCACCACCGTCGAATCCCGTGTCGAGGAGAAAAAAAACGTTCCTCACAAAATTATCGTCATTTCGTCCCACAGGTGGAGCACCAAGCAGGCTGTGCACCAAGCAGGCTGTGCACCAAGCAGGCTGTGCACCAAGCAGGCTGTGAGTTTCCGGCTGCGTGCGCGTTTCCCCTCTCCCCTACCCCTACCTACCCACAATCACATTGTGGAGAGGGTAAACTATTGCTCGGGAGTTCCGAGATACCCGAAATTTAAAGGTGACACTGCCGCCACCAGGTGAAAGTGCTAGCGAGCTCACATGCTGGATGACACACCCTGCAAAAATGGGGAGAAGCTACCCCCAACCCCTTCGTGCGCACTCCATCCCCGCCTGGCGTCCGGCCGGCGACGCGACAGGAGGAGCAAGAGGAGGAGCCAATGCTGTGACGGCTGCCGATCCTCCTCCTAGCGGCTTCTCGAGTTGCGGAGACGCGGCGGCGGCGACAATGAGGGTGGACGCGGAGCGCTCAACTTGACAGGTTTCAACTGAAGCCCTCGCTCTTGTAGATCTGCTCGATGGCGCCTAGCACGTTCTTGACAATGTGGCTCGGTTTCTTCAGCAGCGGGTCGAGGCCAAAGTCGCGGTGTCCGTGGTGGTGCAGGTCCTGTAGGGAGAGAAAGAAGCCATGATCACATACAGTTACAGCAGCGCGGGCGTCTATACTCTCTCTCTCTCTCTCTCTCTCTCTCTCTCTCTCCCTCGCTCTCTCTCTCTCTCACCTGTGGATTGTCATCCCAAGAATCGTCAGAGAAGACACCCGTCTGCACCAAGATGGAGTGACAGCTGTTCACTCCTAGTGGCTCCACATGTTCATCATCTTCATCATCCAAGTCCTAAACGATACAT